GGAGAACAGGTCAGGGAGGATGGAGAACAGGCCAGGGAGGATGGAGACCAGACCGGGGAGGGTGAAGAACAGGTCGGGGAGGATGGAGAACAGGTCGGGGAGGATGGAGAACAGGTCAGGGAGGATGGAGAACAGGTCAATGAGGATGGAGAACAGAACAGGGAGGATGGAGAGCAGGCCAGAGAGGACAGAAAGCAAAAAGAGTCAGAGGAAAGAGAGCATAGGGAGGCAGAGACTCAGAAATACGGAAGGGAGGAGAGAAGATCTGGAAAGGAGAGAGAATGAGGAGGAAGGGGAGGAAGGGGAGGAGGGATGAGGAGAGTGTGGACTGTAAAGCCTCCCCCACCCACCCTGTCCTTACCCTGTAGCTTCCAGGAGGCAGGTCCCCTGTTTTGGCGCTGGGCCTAGGCACAGAAGCTGGGACCGGGGTCAGGCCAGGGGCTGGGGCTGGCCCTGTGGTTGGGCCCCCCTTCCCCTTGCCATCAGGCCCCGGGTTCACCGCCATAGTGGCCACAGCCTTAGCAGCCTGAGACATGGTTCCTGATGCTGCAAAGAAAAATAAATCTTTGGGTTGAATGATTTTGGGGCGGCAATCCCAAGCGGCCTCTACCCTTATGCACCTCACCCTGTGTTGGTAAGGCTCCTTCACAGACATCGACTACCCCTGGGAAACAGACACACTAAAGCTGTCCCTCTCCTGGGCTATGTCCTTCCTTCAAGTCCCACACTCTGCTGCTCTCTTCCTTGGTCCCTTGTGCTTGTTCACTATCACATGGGTTTGCAGCAGGCTTTGCCACACCAGCTGAGTGATAGCCACACTCAGGAGTGTTCCATCAAATACAGTAACGAATGCCTTACACCCACCTTAACTGTGGGCTGAGGGGTGAGGGTCTGGATCTCCCGTTACAGTCTAGCTAGAGTAAAGGTACCCTGCCATCCACAGAGCAGTTGCCTCCCTCCTCAGCCAGCTGATGAACAGGCACCTGGGTTACTAAATGCAATCTTGTAAACAAACACTCCTGTCTAGGACAGCTCCTTGCTTGGCTCTGTGCTAGACGCATGGGATCTGCTCAGCCAACATCTGTTCAGAAACTCAGTGTAAATGTGTGCATCCTGAGCCTCTCCCAACCATCCGCCCCTGGCATCCTCTGAGGGCAGATGTGGGTGTGCAAACACCAGCCTGGCACTTGGGTTTGGCAGGTACAAGAAGAGGGAGTAGTGTGCTTCCGGCACCCTCCACCAGAACTGTGACTTGTGACCTCAGCTCTTCTGGTCCCTTAAGAAACACAGACTTCTTGGCACGGGGCATGCCTGATTGCACTATCCCCTGGATTCTGCTGATAATTTGCAAACCACTGGAGCACTGGGGCCCAGAGCAAACCCCTTGTGTCCATCTGGGTTCCCAACATCTTTTCTCTAACTGGGTGAGTGCACACCTCCCAGCCTTCCGCAGGAAGACTGGCTGCTCAGTTGCCCACACGTCGGAGCCACATCTGGGGCTTTCAACCACCCTCAACCCTGTCTCTGTCCTCAGAGGCCCCTCCTTGCCCAGCATTGTGTTCATTCTCCCTTCCCCTCCAATCTGCCTCTGGCAGATTACCTCTACCATTGCTTGTCTCTCTGCCTCCCTTGCTCTATTCCTGTTTTGTAGTTTTGAGAGAGGGTCCCTCTCTGTAGCCCAGGCTAGTTTCCAATTCTCAGCATCCTCCTGCCTTGAGTGCGGGCTAGACAAGTATGTAGAGGCAGCAGCTCTGGTTTTTGCTTCCTCCCAGTGTCTGTTCAGTTCTTCATCATACTCTCTCTCTCTTTCTATTTTCACCCTTCTTCCCTTTATTTCCACCTTCCCCCAGTTCTCTGGCAGTGTGGCGGTCCCCTCTTACCTGTGCTGGAGGCAGGCGGGTGCTGTGGGTGCCTCAGGGCCGACCCCCCATTTTATAACCTGGCAGACACTAGGGTCTATAGTGTGCAGTACAAAGAGGTAGCTGGCTCAGCAAGCCTGGACAGGGTCCAGGGCTGGCTCTGTCCCGGTACTGCACAGGCTAGCACTTTCCATTGTGAGCCTGGAACACAGTGAAACCCTGGCCCCAACCCTATTCTGACTCCAGTGTCCATTACCCTGGCTGGAGACAGGCCCAGGGCCTGCTGGCTGCCAGCCTAGGGTAGGGAAGGGGCACCAGGTAGGAGGCAAGCTGAATTAGAATCCTGCCTCAGGACCAAACACAGCACGGCTTCAGAAGTCTCCATTTAAAGATACAGGTGACATGCCTCCCTGTGGGATGCTGTGCAGAACTGAAGGCAACATTGAGCTTGAACATGCTCCATCAAGACAGAAGGGCTCTCAGTTCACAGTCGCATTCCTGAGCACTTCTGTGTGTTTGCAGCCTTTGGCCTTATGATTGACTCGGAAGCAAGCCGCCCCACCCTGGCTCTTACTGCACCCGCTTCTTGGTTGTGAAAGGCTGGATGCAGAGGTCAGTACTGGCCAGGGGAGGCAGGCAGGCTCTGGCCCGCATGCTTCATCTCAGGCCATCTGACCTTGGCACTGACTGAGGTCTGCCTGATATCCTGTTTCTAGTGTGATGGCGTGGGCTGGATCTCAGGTTCAAGGCAAGGTCCTTCCTAACTGCCCATCAGCCCCCAGGGACTGAATCCAGGACTGCTGCCAGGGCGAGGAACATGGAGTCTCTGAGCAATCTCACACCCTACTACACATGGCTGGGCCCTCACAGGTCCCTGACGGCATCAGAATAAAATACGGGTGTGTGTGGGGGGAACTCTAGTGTTCACTAGAGGGTTGGGAGACAGGTAATGGACAGTGAGGACAGAGACAGAGACAGGACAGAGGACAGAGAGCAAAGGTGAAGAGTGAAAAGCAGAAAGGGAGGTGGAGAAGATGACAGAGGGAGAGCTGGAGGGAGCCTGAGGCAAGAGAGAAAGCCGGGTGGCCATGTGTCCTTGTGGGCCAGTGAACTGCAGCAGGTGGAAGGCAGATGGCCCCTGTTTGCCCAAACAGAAGAGAAAAGCTTTCACCCTTGTCCACAGTGTGAACTAAGTGTACTGAGGCATGTCTTTACCCCAGCGGGATAATTCTTCCTCTGAGAAACCCTTCTTCTTTGGGAATTTGGGAAGTCCAGGACCCCCATGCAGCCTAGCTCTATCTTGTGGTCACTCTGGCCTGGGACCAGTGCTGGCCCTGCCCCACTGCCCACGAGTCCCTCTCCCTGCTAACCTCCTCTCTGCCTTTCATCCCAGGCCAAGTCCTTGAAGGGCAAACTGGGAACACAGGATGGGGCAGCCACTGTGTGTCGGGCCAAGATGCCTGTGGTGGGGGCCACCCACAGATCTGGGCTTCAAGGGCAGAATCTGGGGTAGTTTTGTCCCCCTACCATCCTGCCAATGGGCAGCTTGCCAGAGGTTCTGGGAGATGGGGAGCAGCCCCTCTTGCTGGGAAGCTCTTCCCTGAGCACTTTGTGATTCTGTTGTCTGCCTTCAGACGAACCATTTATAGACAAGAAAGTGGGTGGCTCCTTTGTCCCCTTCCAACCCTCTTTCCCGTGTGGAATTGGCACTCACACTATTCTTTATTTCTTTTTAGTTTATTGAGACAGGGTGTAGCCCAGGCCGACCTCAGGCTCACTGTGTAGCTGAGGTTAGCTTTCCTGCTTCCGCATCCCAAGTGCTGGAATTACAAGTGTGCACCACCACGCAGGGCTGTTGCTTCTAACGTCCCGAGTCCAGACTCTTAGATGCTATGAGCTCCTGCTTTGGGGGAACTGTCAAAGAAGTACTTATAGTGATAAGTACTTCTGCTAGCAAGGATGGCAAAAGTCGCCAAGACCCAGACAGCTAACAGCTATCACACCTGTGCTCTCAGGCTAACCATTAACATTAAACATTTTTTATTACACACGCACGCACGAACACGCACGTGTGTGTATGTGTGTGTGTGTGTGTGTGTGTGTGTTCATGCGTGCCCACATGGAGTTCAGTTCTTTCCTTCCATAATGTGACCCTCAGCACTGGCCGTAGGTACCTTTGAACCATCTCATCAGCCATCAGTCCTCACTTTGTCTCTTTTGTTCGTTAGTTTTTCAAGACAGGGTTTCTCTGTGTAGCCCTGGCTGTCCTGAAACTCACTCTGTACACCAGGCTGGCCTTGAACTCACGGAGATCAGCCTCCCTCTGCTTCCTGAGTGCTGAAATTAAAAGTGTGTGCCCCCACTGTCCGGCCCACTTTGTCTTTTTACTTCCATTTGATACGTAAGTGCGGTTCAGTTGCATCAGGACCCTTCTCACAGGTGTGGGGTGCAGGACCAGAATGCTGCCTGTGGAGGCTGCATCCCACTCACCCTTTGCCAAGTCCTGCTTGTGTGACAGCTTTTTTGTCATTGCAGGAAGGAAGAGATGTTGCTATTTCCTGCCCATCGGGGACTCACTCTTTATCTGGTCACCTCACCCAGCAACAGGGATGAGTTTTACCACAAGCAGTTCCTGCCCTGCTACCCACTCCTGTGACTGCCTTTCTCGGGCTGTCTCAGAGGCAAGCCACTCGGGTGCTTGTCCGTCATGCTTTGTTCTGTGAAGATCTTTGCAGCCTGCAACTCCTTGCTTCTGTATGCACAGACGCTTCCACAGGGCTTGCAGCCGGTACCAGCTCTGGCCCTGACCAACACTAATTTTTTTATTGATGTTATTGAGCTATATTTTTTTCTCTTCTCCCCTCACTTCCTCTCTCCTCTCCTTCAACCCTCTCCCATGGTCCCCATGCTCCCAATTTACTCAGGAGATCTTGTCTTTTTCTACTTCCCATGTAGTTTAGATCCATGTATGTCTCTTTGTTGTCTAGGTTCTCTGGGATTCTGATCACCATTCTTACTGCCCCCTCTGAAGATTTGTGCTCTGTCTCAAGGTTGATGCTGGGACCCCAGTCTAGTGTTTTCCTAGTTCTAGTCAGGAGTCCCGTGGAACTGATGGAGGTGGACAGTCTGCCTCGCATCTTCTCTAGCGCTGACCCTGGGGCAAGCCACTGTTCCCTCCCCACTAAAGCCAGAGCTGCTGACATGTCCATCCTGGGCCTTGGCCAGGACTGGCTTTTGTTTCTACCCCTGGCTTGCTGAGTTTGTGTTTGTCCCTCGGGGCCCCTGCCCCTTTCCTGCCTATAAGAACCTGACCTTGCTTGGTCCTGCTTCTGACATTTGCTCTGGGCCCTTCTTGGTAAGTCTGGGTGGGAGGCAGGGGTGGAGCTGAGCTCTCTGATGGCATTGTTTTGGGGATGTCACTGATCACCCTGAATGCCATCACAATCCAGGTAGTCTCTGGATGTCCAGACTGTTGTCTGTTACTCTTATTTAAATGCCAAGTAGTTTACCCCCATCATTTTGTGTTCTGTGTGTCCACTATGAGAGCCATGCATCAGACTGGTGCTGCACTTAGTGTGTGTGGTGGGCAAGAGAAATGTGCTCACCTCATTCCACCCACATAGCCATAGCGGCCCCACTGTGAGCTGGGAATGGAAGTGAAGATACCCAGATGTGGCTGAGAAGATGCCACTTGCAGATGGGTGGGACGGGAGAAAGGTCACTGCGGTCTAGGAACACCCAGATCCATCTGGATTCTGTCCCTGCTTCAGTCGAGGATGCTGCTAGGAATCAGACAGAAGGTGACTGTGTTCTTCTCTCTGTAGGACCGGGCCAACATGACCCTGCAGTGCACCAAGTCAGCCGGACACTGGCGGGTAGGGAGTGGCCTAGGGAGCACGTGTCCTGGGAGGGGAGGGAGGAAGCCAGCTAAGAGCCCCCAACTGCAGCTTCACGGGGGAGGGGTACCAACCGCCATGCATGCCACCAGGTTTCAGACCAGGGAGTCAGTCACACATCCTGAACTTGAACTCGGGTCTCCTGGTACCCACTGCTGAGTCACATCACACAATCTTCCTTCTGTATTTCTTTGACCAAGCTTGGCTTTGGAAAGAGAAACTAAAAGCTGGTGTGATGGCACATACCTGTAATTCTAGCACTGAGGAATTGGAGGTCGGAAGTTTGTGAGTTCAAGGCCAGCCTAGGCCTCTTGAGATTATATCTCAAAAAAAATAAAAAAAGTTTGGAGGAGCCACATGAAAGTCTTCCATGAAGGCCTTGAGAAACAGAAACTGCCTACATTCCCACCTGATGTCAGCGGGAGGTGATGGTAGACAGACGTGGTCTCTACTCTGGGCCTGTGCTGCCTAGGACCATGCCATAGTCCACCTTGCTCACCCACCTGACCCCAGAGGCACTTGAGTATGCAATCTTGGTTGACTTGTTTGGCTCCACCTTGAATCCAGGGTGAGACCCTCCATGCTTACTGAACCCTGTCGCCCACACATCTCCCTTCCTTCCTGCACAGATGGTGGTGTGGGACGAAGAGGGCTTCCAGGGCCGTCGGCATGAATTCACAGCTGAGTGTCCCAGTGTGTTGGAGCTTGGCTTTGAGACCGTGCGATCTTTGAAAGTCCTAAGTGGAGCGTGAGTCAGGATGGGGGTAGGGGCAGAAAGGGATCTAAGGACGGATGCTAGAACCTATCTGTGCTCCCAGATTTATCTTCCCAGGCTTTAATTGTACCTACGTGTCCCTCCCATGTGCAAGAGAGAACGCAGGGCTGTTGAGTCACATTACCCAGGTTGTACACTTCCCACTTGTAAGGGACACCATCACACGGTCCCTGCCCACTAGATGAGGCATCCCCATGGGATCCGAAGGTGTCCCTCCTACACATAAACTGAAAGTTGGTATCACCTACACCCAGATCCTCAAGACTAGCATCCTGCAGCAGCCCTTGCTACAATGATGGGAAGATTTATAAATCTGCTTAATCTGCTTGAGACTCACTAGCCACACATGGCCGTTGAGGAAGAATTTTCAATGTATATTTTGTGACTCAAGAATTGAATTTTAATTTTTGCTTAATCTTAAGATCAAATGTAATTAGTGGTATGTGACTCATGTGTATTCCACTGGGTAGAATATCCCAGAAAATTAGGAAGAAGACCAAAAGGAGGGTGGAACTTTCTCTGTCTGACTTAGAGCGCAGGCTTTGTCTGTGGGTACCTCCCAAGGTCACCTTGGTTGTCTATATTGCATCTCACACCATAGCGATTGTTCTTTTAGCGTCTAGATGCTCTACTCAGGTTGGGAGACAGGGCTCAGGACAGCTACCTGTCTAGGGACAGTGTCCTGCAAGCTGCCAGGGGAGGCTGGACAGAAGGAAAAGAGCCTGGGTGGAATCAGAGGGTGATCTAAAACAAAAGGGATTGATAGAGGACAACTTCCATACTTCTGCTCAAGGTGAGACCGTGGAAGTCCCTTCTGCCACGGGAAATGAGCAGGAGGGAGAAGCTGTCCCAGAAGCCTCCCTGAGGAGGGAGGAGAGACAGCTCAGGGAAGACACTCTTGACCCCTCAGACTGTCAATTTCTGTGTTTGACAATATCACGAGGAAACAATGAAACTGGGGTTAGCCCATGGCTGACTCCTGTCTACATGATGTGACCTTTGTGGCAATGAATGTGTGAGGACTTCAGAGCACCTGCCTAGGGCAGTCCCTTCTCTGTTGGACACTCGAAGCCAGTGTGATGCTGGCCCTAGACAGAATTTCCTATGTTGGGTTTAGGCAGGGTTTCCCACAGTTGGCATTAGCAAGGTCTAGGCATGATTGTTCTTGGGTAGGGTGACCTGGGTGCTGTTCCAGTGTTGGCTTCCACTTACTGAATGACCATCGCACCCCCTCCCAAGTTATAAAGTCATAACAACCCAGATATTGTCAAGTGGCCTTAGAGGTCGGTCGCCCCCTGTAGAGCCCTGATCCAGTTCTCAGGTTGGCAGCTCTTCTTTCTTTCCATTTCTGCCCTGTCTGTCTACAGGTGGGTGGGCTTTGAGCATGCTGGCTTTCAAGGGCAGCAGTACGTGCTGGAGAGGGGCGAGTACCCGGCCTGGGATGCCTGGAGTGGCAACACAGCCTACCCTGCTGAGAGGCTTACCTCCTTCCGGCCTGTGGCCTGTGCTGTGAGTCCTACTGCCTGCACCCGGGTGACCAGAGCCCAGCTCATGGACACTTGGGAATATGATGTCTAAACTCAAGCTTTAATCCGTCATCAAGAGATAGATGTGGTGGTTTCTCTCTTCTGTGACCTTCAGGTTCTGTAATTTGACATAAAGCGATAGTACGCATGCTGTAGCTATACCCCAACATGAAACCTCAGCCGGTAACAATCTTGGTTATGGTGGGAGCCCTTTGGTGTGGTATTTCCTTGGGTGGCAGGAAAGGCAGAACTGGCCAGGAGGTGAGGTCCTATGTATTGTGCCCAGCTCATCACCTCCTCTCTCTCCACTGTGCATTGCTGCTGCTGGTGGAGCACAGATGGAGACAGGCGCTGCTCTCCCTTCCCAAAGATGGAGAGGAGATATGGTTGGTTCCATGTCACAGCTGTGGGTAAATGGCACCTCAGAAACACTGTGTGGTGCACCTGAGCTCAGCCAGCTGGCAAAGGGCTGAAGTCTAACCCAGATATTCACGTGTTTCTTATAGCACAACACACTATCTTCCTGCCTGGTCTCCTGCTATGGGACATTTAGATCAGTTAAGGTGGACATCCTTGTAGTTTGTTCTGTCCTTGATCCTTTGGAAGGACAGATGCTGAAGTATCTTGTGAAGCTTCCTGTTGCCTGTTGCCCATCTCAGAGCTCTGAACAAAAGGCTGACTTGGGAGACAAAGGCTGAGTGAGGGGCTGCGGCTCCTGCATGTCCAGTCTTGCACCTGGTGGTCTGACTGAGTTCTCTGTTATCTGTAGAACCACCGTGACTCAAGACTGACCATCTTTGAGCAGGAGAACTTTCTCGGCAGGAAAGGTGAACTGAGCGACGACTACCCCTCTCTGCAGGCCATGGGCTGGGACGGCACTGAAGTGGGCTCCTTCCATGTTCAGTCTGGGGCGTAAGTAGACCCATAGCTCTGGCTGGCAAGACAAAGAGATGTGGGGAGGGTTGGGACACATCCTGTAGAGACTGTGTGCACAGCATGCCAGAGAACATGGAGGCATGGAGGGCATTGCAAGTGACAAGAGGACACCTGGGGCAAGCTGGCTTAGGGACAGAGGACATATGTGGTCTCCTGTGATCAGCTTCAGGCACAGCTGGATCCAGAAACCGCTGGAATCTGCCTTCTTCCCATCTCACTCCCCTGGCTCTATTCTTAAACCAGCTCTTCCCCAATGCAAAGACAGAGACTTTGGTCTTACACTCTATCCCTAGCAGGAGAGATAATATTCGCCTTACTCCGGCTAAGTTTCCAGGAAAAGAGCATATTGATCTAGCTTGGGTCATGTGCTCCCTTCTGAACCAATCACCATGTCCAAATAAATGGGATACTCTGATTGGCTGGCTAGGGTCACATGTGTTTTTTTTTTTTGAGACTTGCTTCAGTTTCCCTGCCTTGACTGGGACTGAGAGGGAGACCTGATGCGTTAGTCTCTTTCTCCAAGGTGCTTGGCTCCTGCAGGCAAGGATGAAGATGGGAAGCAGAGCTTTTGTTCAGATAGCAAGGAACCAGATTCAGGTTGTGTTTCAATATGGCTGACACTGTTCTCTGTATGCTTCCTCTGCTCTGGAGACCCTGTTGTGAATAACGCAAGGGCCCATGTCTTGGAACAACTGTGAGGGAGAGCTGGACAAAGAAAGACTTCCTATACATCCCTTTTCTTTCTTTATGAGCATCCACTGGCTTCTCTCTGCACAGTGTCTGCACGGGGAGACTAGTTCCAGGCGTCCTATGCCAGGGCTTACTCTAGGGAAGGCAGCCACTCATAAAGTCATTTTAAAATTCCTCAGTTTTATCCCTATTACAAGAGGACAATCACAGCTTGGTGGAGACAGGTAGATGGATAGTCTTGAGGGAGACCATACACTGTGACCCTGAAAAGTGGCCGGAAGGGTATTTTTGCCCCGGGGAACAGCAGCAGTGAGGGAAAGAGAGAGCTCCCCGACACACATGTGTAGTACCAGGACCACAAAACCAACCTGGCTGGTTGGGCTTTCCGATGCGTCGCTGCCTGACTTGGTTTGGGCCTCAGAGACCTTGGGTGGTAGTCGTCTCTTCTGTTTCCCAGGTGGGTTTGTTCCCAGTTTCCCGGCTACCGAGGTTTTCAGTATGTACTGGAGAGTGATCACCACTCGGGTGACTACAAGCACTTCAGGGAGTGGGGCTCCCACGCCCACACCTTCCAGGTGCAGAGTGTGCGCAGGATCCAGCAGTGAGCACCACGCACAGGCGCGCTGGGGGGCCTTTGTGAATGACTGACAGGCTGGAGGTGTGGTTGCTCTTGGTTCTGGCTACTCCCATGCCTCCTGAGAACCTTGCGTCCCTGTTGGCCAGCCCATGCCCCAGCAGTTCGTGAAGCTCAAAGAAATAAAATGAAAAACAAAAGGCTCAGTATCTGTTGTGCTTTTCAGTTTTGCCTACCTTCCTGATGAAGCAATTTGTAGCTTTATAAAATTTCTGTTATTTGTCTGGTTTTGAGGTTTATTTTTATCATTCCCCCCACCCTGTGTGTGTGCACATGTGTGTGTGTGTGTGTGTGTGTGTGTGTGTGCATGCCCACACCTGTGTTTGTGATCACTGTGTGTGCAGAAGAAGGCTTCTATCCCTTGAAACTGAGTTACAGGTGGCTGTGAGGGACTGGATGTGCCAAATCCTGTTTGCATGCTAGAGCAGCAAGCCCAGACAGCTGCTGAGCCCTCTCTAGCCCTGTTGTCTCTTTTACTGATTTAGACTTTAATTTTTTTCTTTTATTTTATGTGTCTGGGTGTCTAGCCTACACGTAGATCTATGCATCACCTGTATGCTCATAGTGGGCAGAAAAGGGCATCAGATCCCCTGAGACTGGAGTTAGAGATGGTTGGCCTCCACGTCTGTGCTGGGACCTGAAGCTGGCTTCTCTGGGAAGAGCCTGGTCGGTGGGCACTCAACACTCTGTCAGCAGTTGCAGTCAGACCAGAGGAAGGCTCTTTGCCATCCCTCCGAGCCTGGCCCAATGGGTGGCTTTGACACTTCCATGGTGTGAGGCATTTGTTCTTGATAGATCCAGGCCCTTGTCAACAATACACACTCAGGGCTTCCTCAGTTCTCTGCAAGGGAGGGGCCCAGTCAAACCCAGAGCTCCCAGATAAAGCTAACCTTTGCTCCCTTGACTTGGCCTTCCTTTTTCACAGGCTCACACACCCATTAGGCATTGTATGGGTCTGAAGATCCGAACTTGGGTCCTCATGCTTTTGTGGCAAGTGCCTAGCCACCAAGTGCTCCACTTTTTGAGAATGCCACTATGTAGCCCAGGTTGCCCTAGGGCCACCATCATCTTGAGTTTTGCTAGGATTTAATTGTAAGACATTCTGCTTGTTGTCTATGTGTAAATTATAGGAACCGGACTAAAGTCCCAGGCTTGCTAGGCACGTGGTTTACCTCGGAGTTCTAACCAGCCCCGTCTTGCCCTGTCTTGTCTAGTTATGCTACATCTTCCTCCCTTAAGAATTTTGATAAACCAAGTCAAGCAGTGCATGCCTGTTGGGATCAGCACTCAAGAGACCGAGGCAAAGGATTACTATGAATTTGAGGCTAGCCTGGATTATACAGTCAATGTATAATCAGAGAGGTCAGGGATTTTTCCCGAGGCCACCCAGCTCATTAGATCATTTATCCCACTGTGGGTCATGCAAAGTTTTGGGGGCATGATGCAGAGATAAAGGGGATCAAATGAGGCTTATAAATAGTAAAGTTGATGGTTTATGTTTTCCCCTAAGAGCTGAGAAAGTCATCCTCACACTTTTGTACAAGTAACTGTGTAGCCCTTATATGTCATAGGAAAGCCGTATGCCTCTGGGAGCAAGGAAGGGAATATTGGTGGAAGGAAAATAGGGAGGGTGAGAGACGTCATTGGAGTTTGATGCCTCTATAAGAGCCAGCTCAAGCCAGGAGGGAGGCTGGCATCTGTATTAAAACATAAAAAGTCCCAGGTGTGAGGTTGTGTTGGAGCCACAGAGAAGAAAAAGTTGGTCCAGCAGGGCAACCTTGGGAAGAAACAGAGAGCCTGAGATTATTCTTTAGTCTTCCCAGAGGCAGTTTCCCAAGATTATAAAAGAAAGATAGTTAAAGTGCTGATGTTATTTGGACCAAAGCAACCGGCAGGCAGTGGACACCTGTCACTGAAAACACTGCTTAGCAGAGAGGACTGACCACAGGGGTCAGGATGGAGGAGCTACAAACCAGTGAAATCTCGGCCCAGAGAAGGCAAATACTGACCCAGGGTGACCTAGTGGAATGCACCTGTCCTCTGTCCCCTGTCCTTTGCTGCCTCCTTCCGGCTACTTACATCTCCCCAGGAAGCATTCACATCCGAGGCTGGATACTGGGCAGCGCTGGTTAGACCAGGTGGCCTCTATCAGTTACTCTTCCTTGCCAAGCCCTGGGCTTCCTTCCCCGTAAAGGCACAGTCTAGAGGTCCAGGGGATGGATACAGAGAAAGAAAATGACGTGAAAACAAGACAAGCATGCATGCCTTGGTATTCTCCTCCCTCACTGGTCTCCTCCCAGTGGCTCCTCCCACTGCTGCTCTGAGCCAGTGCAGCATAAAGACCAGTGAGCAGGCTTCAATGGCACTAGAGGGTCAGGAAGGAACCTCCACCGCTTGAGTGTGGGAGAGGGGACAGCGTTATTTGATGCTCTTCCCAGGGAACCGTGAACAAATGACCACACACCCCAGATAGGGAATCAACGATGAACCAAAGTTTAGATAGTATTAAAGTCAGACTTAGTGAACCATGAGTTGGTTCTACTGGAGTCACTTACAGGAGCAAAAATGACTCCAAGACAGCTGCATCACCAAAGTCCATCCCAGCACAGGTGACAGCTCACAATGTTAGGAACCTGGAGCTCACTGCACAGCCTGCAGGCTGCTAAACAGTCAAGAGTGCCCTTTCCTGGTGCCTCAGTTGGTCTGAGCCTCTTGGGGAGGGAGGGGCCTAGTGAAGCTGCTCAGTTTCAGGGACTTCCTGAAGCTGTTTTAGGTTGTTTCCTTCTTGAGCCCAAGGGACTTCTCTGCAGAATGGAGTAAAGAGCTTCCCTCTGAGATGGAAGGTTCTTACCTTAGAGGGAACTGCCGCACAGCAGGAAGAGTGGGAGGGGAGGGGAAGAGGGAGGGGAAGGAGGAGTGGGGGAGCCAGCCTTCCTCCCCCCAGTGCTATTGTCTCCCCTCTTCCCCAAGAAGGAGCTGTGCACCGCAGCTCCTCAGCGTGTGTGTGGGTGGGGAGTCTGCCCACCTTCCTTCCAGGGCCATAATTACCAGATTAATGGGCAGGAAACCACAGGTGGGTGGGGCCTCCCTTTCCTGCCCACCCGTGGCTCTGCTCCAAGTCATTCCCAAACTTGCCAACATAAAGGCTGTTCTGATCCATGCATTAGGGAGGGGCATCAGGGGAGAACAGAAGGGCCACAGGCATCTGTGCCCCTGAGGGAGAGGCTCTATCCTTGCATGCTGTATTGGTCAGGGTTCTATAGAGTAACAGAACTTGTAGAATGAATCTCTCTCTTGATTTACAGGCTGAGGACAGCTAGTCCAACAATGGTACAGAAAGTTCAAGAATCCAGTAGTTGTTCAGTCCATGAGACTGGATGTCTCAGCTGGTGTCCATTATACACCCAAATCCTGATTCTAGTGAATCCTAATTCTAGCGAAGGAATGGACTTGCTAGCAGGGCTGGAGGAAGCAGGAAAAGGGAGAGCAAGCTTCCTTCTTCCACATCCTTTGCAGAGACTACCAGCAGAAAGTGTGGCCCAGATTAGAGGTAGATTTCCCTATCTCAAATGATCTGGATTGGAAGTGGATCTTCCCACTTCAAATGATCCTTGCGGGTGTGCCCAGCCATTTTGGGTTTTAGTTAATTCCAGATGTAGTGAGTGGACAACCTGAGAAGCTAACACTCGTGTGCCCACCCAACACATGCTAGACTTGGGTTTCTTGCGACATTTAAAATTCTGTTGACATCTTCCAACCCTGACTTTACTTTCCTAGTCCCCACCCCTGTAGCTTCCATTGTGGGAGGGTGGGTGTCCCTACTTCTGCCCGGAGCTCACAGTCTCAGCCATAAATACCATGATCCGTCACCACCCTGTCCTCCTGTCCCTTACTCAGGTGGGAAAACTGAGGCCGACTAAAGCACGTTGGTGGGCTCAAACCCACACTGAGGACCGGGCAGAGCTACAGTACAAATCCTGGGCACCCCATTCTCTCCAAGCACCCCTTCCTCATTATGAGCATGCTGAGCACCTAGAGCCAGCCAGGTGGGGACGTTTTAAAACTTATTATTATTATTACACTTAAAAATGTATTACCACGGGCAGGAGAGATGGCTCAGCGGTTAAGAGCACTGGCTGCTCTTCCAGAGGTCCTGAGTTCAATTCCCAGCAACCATATGGTGGCTCACAACCATCTGCAATGAGATCTGGCACCCTCTTCTGGTGTGCAGGCATATATATGCAGGCAAAATGTTGTATACATAATAAATAAATAAATAAATCTTTAAAAAAATGTATTACCACTATTCATGTGTGTGTGTGTGTGTGTGTGTGTGTGTGTGTGTGTGTATGTATGTACATGCACACACATGTGCCTCGGTTGACAAGTGGAGGTCAGAGGACAGCTTTTGGAGTTGATTCTCTCCTTCCACCATGCAGATTCCAAGGTTCAAATTCACGTCATCAAGCTTTATCAAGTTCCTTTATCTGCAAGCCAGTGGAGGGAGGGATGAAAGGAGGGGGGAGGAAGAGAGTGGGGAGGGACGCAGGCAGATTTTAGCTTAGGCTGGACACAAGCTCACTGATTCTCTAGATGGCAGGTTGAATCCCATCACACCCTCCCTCCACTTATCCCAGCCCCCCTCCAGTCCTCCCCTAGTCTCACCGGCCCCAGCTGGTACTGGCTTCTTTTAGTGAGGCCCTGGCAACTCTCAGGCTCCTCCTCTCCTGGTTCTCTCTTGTGCAGTCGAGGAGCAGAGCCTGCGCAGCACTGACCCCTGGTGGTGAAATGTGAAAGCCCACCCGCCCAGATGCTGCTGTAGACTTGTGCCCTGGGGTGTCCAGTGCTGGAGCAGAGAAGGTTGAGTCTACCGGAGGAAAGAGCTGTTGCCAAGGAGAGGGGGCTTCCGGGTGAGGCCGCGGCCTGAGCTCCTTTCTGCTCCTGAAGCAGTCCTAGCAGAGCCTCCTCACCCCGGTGTTTTCTGGCCCACCGTGGACATGTGTGAAGTTGCATTTCCCCCTTTCTCATTGGCTTCCAGTATGCTCAGGATCAACGATCAGCGAGCTCACTGCAACTGTTCAGAGCAGAGTGACTGATGTCTAGAATAATTACATCTCTGGTGATGCGATCTTTTCCAAGTCACATTCTT